CCCCAAAACCCCAAAACCCCAAAACCCCTCAAGTCATCAGGATGGTTGAAAGAATTGTTATACAAATCACACCATTTCATTTGTACTAAATGAGCTCTTACTCCTCACACTAAGAAGAACCAGAGCAGAGTCTTCTCTTAGAAGCAACTTTGGCTTACTCTCTCAGACTAATCAAAGGGGGTTACCTCTCATCTTTCTCTAAAGGGTCTGGTAGGTCGGCATAAATAAGTGCTTGATAGGATCAGAAAGCACTTGATATGGATAGTTAAGACGCTTTTTAGTCGTAAAAACTATCCCTAATTTAGCAAAGAAAATGTTACACAAGATAGTACGATGGCTCAGGCTAGAATTGGAGAGAGTTAAGCTTCTCAAGGACGCTTTCATTTCCTTAACAAACTTTTCTTCAGAACTTTTTAAAAATCTTAATTTAGATTAAAAATGACTTTAGACTTTTGAGAAATATTATTCACCCGTGAAAAGGATAGCAGAACATATCCTGGAACAATATTTTTATATTCCCAGCATAAGATAGTTAAGGATAGTTCCCTATTCTCATGAAAGAAACATCAAACAGCTTGTAGAAGGCAAGACTTGATTAAGATTGACAGGAAACTTCTTTGCAGATATCTAACTCCTCAACATATCTATGAAAAGATTTGAAATCTAATCGTTCTAAAAGCCTGAGGATCAAAAAAGAAGCTAATAATGGTGTTGTTTTTAATTTTCTCAATGCTGAACCAAAGATTCTCTGCTTCAAGACAAGGCCTCGTGAATTATCATGCTTAAGGTGCAACTATTCACTTAGAGACATTAAAAAATTTGGAGGCAAAGGCTGAATTTAAAGTAAACTACAAATGTAGCAAGGCTGAATTCTTTTGGAATGGAAGTATCGAGAAAACTATCTGAACAAACTCTATGCTGATAGAATTGATTCGCATCCATCCTAAAGTTTTACCACAATTTACCTCTTTTTCTGAAAGAATCAGCCATTTTCTTTATGAATTACTCTTTCTCTTCACTAAAGCCTAAGGATCAGCCAAAAATAGTCTCGCAAAATCAGAAAATGCTAGCAAATTGTAATTCTGGTCTTGTCTAAAGCCTGGGTTATGCTCAACTCTTGATTGAGAAATCCTCAGTTCACAAAGCTTCTACATGGTTAAATGGTGAGGAGTTTTTGTATAAGCTGTATATGCGAGATCCACTAAAGTTAAATCATGCTAGCAAACCTCTTACTACTCATGCCTAATATTTCCCCTTTACTCATGAATTTTTCGGACGATTTTTGGATCATGAAGTTTTGAGATCCAGTTTTTAATTTACAGCAGATTTTCTTCTTGAAATAGCTCACCTCTTAAACAAAATAGAGAGCTCAAACAGATCTATTCAAGAGTGATAACCTAGCTTGAGTGGAATTTCCCATATGATAGAAATTTATATGATCTGAAGTTTTTGCGATCATGAAAATGGATATAAGAAGAAATTATCTGGAATTATTAATAATATTTTAAAATTTCATGCAAAATAATCAACCGGGTGAACAAGAAGGCAACCATTTATTCAGAGATTTGCTCACACTGTTCATCAAAGAAGGTGATGCAATTATGCATCAAAGCGTTCAGAACACAATCAGACACTAAATCTGATAAACAAAGAAGAGTTATCAGAGGATACTATCCTTGACAAGTTGGATGATTACTGATGTTGTTCAATAATAAGCACTGCTTTTGAGTATACACAGACTCTTCCATCACAATTTCCTTCCTTTCCTGCACAAGCCTCAGAGGAGGACTGTCCAAAATAGATTTCCAAGAAAGCAAATCCAGGAAAAAGTCTTTAAGAATGGCCTTTAAATCTCCTGCAGAAGAAAGAGCCTTCTTCCTGAAGAACAAACTTGGCCTGCTATATCAAAATCTTGAAATTCTTGAAGAAGATGCTATTTTTGTTAAAGCATCCAAATAAGCTTCCCTACACAGCTGAGAGTGTCAGCAAAAGACGCTCTAAGTACATTGGAGTTTTTAAAAATTGATCTAAATGGCAAGCTTTCATTGCAATTAACTCAGTAAAAACCTACATCCAGGTATATGAATCTGAGGAGAATGCAGCAAAAGCATTTGATGTTATGTCCTTGATTCTAAAAAGAACTTCAGCCTTCACTAATTTCAAGTACACTAAAAGAGAAGTGGTTGAACTCCTCCACGATTATCAGGAAATTGTAACTAAATTTTGCCAATAATTCAACATCCCGTGAGATAGTTGGGGTTTTGGGGTTTTGGGGTTTTGGGGTTTTGGGGTTTTGGGGTTTTGGGGTTTTGGGG